GGAGGAACCCAGCAGGCCCCTTGGACCAAAGTCCTCTCACTGACCCATTGTCTCTAGATGGCCCAGCAAACATTTGTTTACTAAACATTAACTCTTTCCAACTCACTGTGAATTGCCTTATTTCACTTTCAAGTCCCAGACTGTTATCTCCCTCTCCTTAATCCAGAATGACACACACACCTTATTCTGCCTTACTGTTTGAGAATTTTCATGCTTATGTGAATTTCCTGTGTGTATATATTAAAACATGTTTTTCTCCTGTCATTTTAATTATTCAGCTAGCCATAAGAACCAATATGGCCGAAACTGCTTTGGCTCAGTGGAGAGAGCATCGGCCTGCAGACTGAAAAGTCCCAGGTTCGATTCCGGTCAAGGGCATGTACATTGGTTGCGGATACATCCCTGGTAGGGGGTGTGCAGGAAGCAGCTGGTCTATGTTCCTCTCTCATCGATATTTCTAGCTCTCTATCCCTCTCCTTTCCTCTCTGTGAAAAATCAATAAAATGTATTTTTTTAAAAAGAACCAATATGGGGCTCCAGCTGGTGTGGCTCTGTGGTTGAGCATTGATCTATGCACCAAGAGGTCACAGTTCGATTCCTGGTCAAGATACATGCTCAAGTTGCAGGCTTGATCCCCAGTGGGGGCGTGTAGGCGGCAGCCAATCTATGATTCTCTGTCATCATTGACATTTCTGTCTCTCCCTCTCCCATCCTCTCTGAAATCAATAAAAAACAACAACAAACATTAGATTAAAAAAAAAAGGGGGGGGGGGGTGTGGAGAGAATGGACCAGTTCTGTCTTATTCATCATTTTGTGTGGAGAGAACCTGGCAACATTGTGGGAATCTGCCAGTTTGTTTATTCATCCTCTTATTGATCAACACATTGATGTTTCCACTTTGGGGTTATGTGACTAAAGCTGCTACACGTTTTTGGGTGGGAAAGGAGCCTGGCAAACAAGAAGTAAACAATGGACAGGGCTGCTGTGAGGATTTGGTGAGTTAATGAATATCAAGCACATGGCATTTTAGCTCAAGCAGCATTACCCATGGAGATCTAAGTAAAAGGTCACCTATTAATTTAATGGCATGCTGATCAGTATTTAAGAGAAATTAAGTAGAAAAACTAAATTCAACATGGATAGACTACTAAACATTACTGATTGGAAAAATGCACGTTTTTTAACTATGCATTTAAAAAATGGGGGTAACTGAGTGAAGAATATATGGCACCTCCCTGTACATATTTTTGCAACTGTTTGTAAATTTATAATTATTCCAAATGGTTTTTTAAATAATAGATACAGTTTAATGCCATTTATTTGAAAGCATAAAGACAAATACAAAACAATATGAATGCTAAAGTCCTTTAAGATCTGAAAAGATATACCCCACATTCAAAACAATAATTTCCTTTGCAGGGGTCAGGAGGCAGAAGCAGCAGGGATTATAAGTAGTGGTCAAAAGAGATTTAGCTTTATCTGTAATATTCTAGTTTTAAAGGAGAAATGTATTCTTACCTTAGTTGTATAATTTAATAAAATTTTAAATTGCAGCCGAAGCTGATTTGGCTCAGTGGATAGAGCATCAGCCTGCGGACTGAAGGGTCCCGGGTTCGATCCCGGTTAAGGGCATGTACCTTGGTTGTGGGCACATCCCCAGTGGGGGGTATGCAAGAGGCAGCTGATGGATGATTCTCTCTCATCGATGTTTCTAACTCTCTATCCCTCTCTCTTTCTCTCTGTAAAAAATCAATAAAAAATATTTTTAAAAATTTTTTAATTGCAATTAAACCTATAGCAGATGATCAGAAACCCATATTTATGCAAACTACATCAAATTTTTTCTGATAACTAAGGTGAATTGGGAGGATGAATAAGATTAACATATGAGCCAGTTACATATGAAGGCTTTATTCATTTCTATTAGGTAGTACCATATGAAACACAATATTTTTATCTATAAAAATAAAAATTTCATATGGTTTGTTATGAACTGAATGTTTGTGCTGCCTCAAAAGTCATGTATTAAGCCCAACCTGTGTGGCTCAGTGGTTTAACATTGACCTATGAACCAGGAGGTCATGGTTTGATTCCTGGTCAGGGAACAAATCCAATTATGGGCTCAATCCCCAGTGTGGGGCATGCAGGAGGCAGCCAATCAATGGTTCTCTCTCATCATTGATGCTTCTGTCTCTCCACCTCTCCCTTCCTCTCTGAAATCAATAAAATATACATTATATATATATATATATATATATATATATATATATATATATATGTCATATATTAACCCTAATTCTGCCCTGGCTGGCATAGTGCTTAGAGTGTTGGCCCATGCATGGAAGGGTCTCAGGTTCTATTTCCAATCAAGGGCACATACCTGAGTTTCAAGTTCTAGTCCCTGGCCTGGGTAGGAGTGCATGCAGGAGGCTACCAGTCATTGTGTCTCTCTCATACTGCTGTTTCTCCCTCTCTCCTTTCCTTCTCTCTCTCTTTCTCTCTCTCTCTCTCTCCTCTTCTCTTCTCTTCTCTTCTCTCTCTCCTTTCCCTCCCCTCCCTTCCACTCTCTCTAAAAAATAAAAAAATAAAAATCAATAGAAAAAAATATCCTTGGATAAGGATTAATAAACAAACAAACAAACAAACAAAACCCCAATCCCAATGTGATGGTATTCTGAGATGGAGCCTTTTGGAAATAATTAGATCACAAGGATGGAGCCCTCATGAATGGGATTAGTGCCCTTATTTAAAGAGGTCAGAGCTAGCTCATTCTCCTTCTGCCTTGTGAAGATACAATAAGAAGTTAACCGTAGGCATCATGGAAGAGGATCCTCTCCAAAATGTGACCAGGCTGGCACCCTGATCTTGAGAACTCTGTGAAATAAACTGCTGTTGACAGGCAGTTCCCCTCAGTTTATTAGTTCAGGTGTGATAGCTAATTTGGCTGGGGGGAAGAGTTACTACAATTAATTAGCTAGCATATATAAGGGGACATCCTGCACACCTGAAATTAAGAGTATAAGGAAAGAGAATAAACTTTGAGGTTTTTGATACACACTACAGCTAAAAGACAGTAACCCGAGGCCATGAAGCAAACGTAAGTGATTGCTCCCTTCTCACTAGCAGCTATTGGACGGGGAAGAGAACGTTTTCTATGGTCCACTCAGAGAGGGAGACTGCTTCCTGGGACCAGGAATGGGACTCCATCTGGAGGAAACCACGTTTGCTACTGAGATAATGTCTAGGGGATTCTTAGGGAGAAGATCAGCACAGAGAGCCTTTAGGAATGGGACAAAGATAGAATACAAGCTATGGTTATGGGAAATATTAACCATGCTCTGTTAACCATGATTGCCTTGTGTTGATTAAAGAAAGGACATTCTGACCTGGCTGGGAGTTGGGTGCCCCTGGGACTTGGGAGTCAACCTTGGACCAGGGAGTCAGCCTTTAAATGTGGTCCATTCTCACTCGAGAACTGCCTGTTACCATGGAAAGATTAACAACCTTTTTGCCCAAACAATGGACTTTCACCCCAACCTGAATAGCCTCCTTCCCCATGCCCATAATCCCTACTTCCCCGTGTAATCTTTGTCCCACTCTATAGAAACAGCTGGCTTAGGAGGGGGTTGCAGAGCAGATTTTTGTGGATGACTTGCTGCTGTACTGTACTGCCTGTAGTATTAAAATTAAGGCTCACATATGATTCAACCCTGTCTCTGATTAATTGGCTCCAGTAGTGACAGACAGCATGGACCCACTGATTGTCTAGTCAGTTTCTCAAGTAACATTTTTTTTGGTACACAAAGATTTTGGAAAAGGAGATTAATTCAGCAGCCTTTAATTTAGAGTAATATTTTAATGTAATCTGTCTACCTTGTAGTTAAAAAATGTGCTGACCAGCTGGCTGCTTTTTGTATTGATCTGAGGTATCCTGGTTTAGAAACCTTGACTGGAGCTCTGGCTCCTTCACTAATGAGATCTGTCACCCCAGACACACCATTCAATTGTGTTCACCTTTATCATCTCTGAGACGTTGTCTAGCTCTAACATGCAGTGGCTCTGCTCTGTCTTATAAACTTTTCTCAGGACATGGATTACATAATGTCTAAAAGAAATATGACAAATAAAAGTTCAATAAGCAGGTAAACTTAACTATTTGCCATATTCACTGCTTAAGTCTACAGACTTTGAGTTGTTTCTCCCCACGCCAACATCCTTCATTTTCCTGCAAATCCTCAGTACAGGTTCTGACTTTCAAGTAAGTTTTCTGACCTCTACAAAATTTCCTTTTTCTGGATTCTTGCAAACCTTTAGAGTTTATATCACATAATCTACTCCCTTGATTCTAAGTCACCTATACTTGACTGTTTCTAATGAAGTTCCTAATCCTCAATGAGATTTTCATCTTTCACTCAGTCACTCAATTCAACAGCTGTCTACTGAGCACCTACAAACCTGCCAGGGAGCATTCTGGTGGAGAGAGAGTGATTGTTTTCTACCTCGTGTACAAACCACAAGATTCTAGCACAATGATTGTTGCCAGGGTGTGTGTTCTCATTTAGTTCCTGAGGAGATCTGAGACTGAAATGTTGAGTAACTAATGGTAATGACAGGTTTTAAAGGTTGGGTCAGAAACTTCAGAAACCGAATAATCCCTCTAAGCCCTCCTGGGAAGAACCTCTCTTCCAGCCTCCACCTCCCCAGGTAAGCCCGGTCTCCTTCGGCGGAGTTACAGGAAGGGGCCTCACGCAGGCTGGGAGTGGATCACTCTACACGATGAAGAAGGCAGGCAAGAGGTCCAAACAGGAGAGATCCTTTCATCTGACTGTATCAGCAGAGTTCTAGTCACTCTCAATGTACAGTATACTTAACTCAGTAACTTAAATTCCCCACCAGGCTAATTAAAACTAGACTTGAACTTCACACGCCTGGTCATTAGGTGCACTAGCTGCCCTTATTTACTGTCTGTCACCCGCTCAATGGCCACCCAAATACTCACTGCCTTAGGACATCTCTGAGGGATGAGTGTCACTATGTCATCGCTGTCTGTGGTCTGTGCTTCACTGACCTCAGATGCTTCTTCACAGGATTCCTTATCTGCTAAGGAAGAGAATTGCCAAGTTGTGAACGATATGCTTAACTTCTTTTTCTTTTTCTTTTTTCTATGTAATGTAGGCCACAAATAGTGAACTCTATGCTTAGTGATACAGCCCACTATAGAGTGTGGTCTTTATTCTTCCCAAATAGCCCAAGTTGGTAAAGGTTATATTAAAAAAAAAAAAAAAAAAAAAAAAAAAAAAAAAAAACCTTCCTGGGTCACCACTCAACCACCGAGCCGGGCCTTAATGTCTTTTTTTAAAACATATATATTTCATTGATTTTTTACAAAGAGGAAGGGAGAGGAAGAGAGGGTTAGAAACGTCGATGAGAGAGAAACGTCAATCAGCTGCCTCCTGGGATGTGCCGGCAACCAAGGCAGATGCCCCTGATCAGAATCAAACCTGGGACCCTCGAGCCCGCAGGCCAATGCTCTATCTACCGAGTCAAACTGGTTAAGGCAAGGCTTTAATATCTTTATTAGTTCTGGGAAACTCTCAGTTATTATCACTTTAAATACTACACTTGTCCCCTCCTTTCTCTTCTCCTTGTACATCCTCATTTTATCTTTGTTTTGTTTTTTCCCTCTCTATCTTTTATGGCTCTTTTCTTCTCTTGTATTTTCTTTTCTTTTTTTAAAATATATTTTATTGATTTTTTACAGAGAGGAAGGGAGAGAGATAGAGAGCTAGAAACGTTGATGAGAGAGAAACATTGACCAGTTGCCTCTTGCACATCCCCTATGGGGATGTGCCCGCCACCAAGGTACATGCCCTTGACCGGAATCGAACTCTGGACCCTTCAGTCCGCAGACCGAAGCTCTACCACTGAGCCAAACCGGTTTCGGCTTCTCTTATATTTTCCATCTTGGTGTCTCTCCTTGCTTTACTCTGGATATTTTCACCAGCTCTCACTTCAGTTGTGTCTAATTTGCTTCTTTTTTTAATCCTTACTAGAAGAGCGAGGATATTTTTCCCATTGTTATTCAGAGAGTGGGAGGGAGGAGAGAGGGGAGCAGAGAGAAAGAGAAAGAGAAACACCAATGTGAGAGAAACACATCAACTTGTTGCCTCCCACATGGCTCCAACGGGGGTTGTGGGGGAGGGGGGGGGTGCGCAAGGAACAAACCTGCAACCCAGGTATGTGCCCTTGACCAGGAATCAAACCCTCGACCCTCTGTGCTCAGGCTAATGCTCTAACCACTTAGAAACACCAGCCTGGGCTGTTTTTGTTTTTTCAATCCTCACCCAAGGACATGTTTATTGATTATAGAGAAAGGGAGACGGGAGTCAGGGGGAGAGAGAGAAGATGAGAGGGAGAGAGGGAGAGAGGGAGGGAGGGAGAGAGGGAGAGAGGGAGGGAGGGAGATTGGGAGAGGGAAATATCCACATGAGAGAGAAGCACTGATCAGTTGCCTCCCATACGAACCCAGATCTGGTATCAAACCCAAAACCGGTGTATGTGCCCTGATGGGGAATCGAACCAGCACCTTTTGGTGTATGGTACAATGCTCCAACCAAGCGAGCCACACGGGTAGGGTATACATTTCTGTATTTAGCAGTTCTATAATTTCTATTGGTTAACATTAATATTTACAATGTATTTTGCAAACAGTAAGAGATAGAAACATCAATTATGAGAGAGAATTATGGATCAACTGCCTCCTGCATGCCCCACACTGGGGATTGAGCCTGCAACCCAGGCATATACCTTGCCCAGGAATCAAGTTGTGGCCTCCTGGTTCATAGGTCAATGCTCAACCACTGAGCCATGCTAGCTGGGTTTCCCTCTCTTACTGGTTCTTTAATGCTTTTAGAAATATTAAGATTTAAAATATATATAACTTTAGCTTTTTATTTTTATAATTATTATTTTAAAAAATAAATCTTTATTGTTCATATTATTACAAATGTTCCTCATTTTTTTCCCCTCCATTGCTCTCCTCCAACAGGTTCCCACCCCATCCTCTGCCCTTTTCCCACCCCCCATTGTCCTCATCCATAGGTGCACAGTTCATATTCAGTCTCTTCCCACATCCCCCACTCTCCTATTCCCTGAGAATCGTCAGTCCACTCCCCTTCTATACCTTTTATTCTATTATATTCACCAGTTAATATTGTTCATCAGATTTTTTTAATTCCCTTGGTTTTTAGATTCACTTGTTGATAGTTATGTATTTGTTGTTCATAATTTTTATCTTTATTTTCTTCCTCTTCCTAAAGAACCCTCTTCAGCAATTCATATAATTCTGGTTTGGCGGTGATGAACTCCTTTAGCTTTTTTTTATTTGTGAAGCTCTTTATCTGGCCTTCGATTCTGAATGATAACTTTGCTGATATAGTAATCTTGGTTGTAGGTTCTTACTATTCATCACCTTGAATATTTCTTGCCATTCCCTTCTGGCCTGGATAGTTTCTGTTGAGAAATCAGCTGACAATCGTATGGGTGCTCCTTAATAGGTAACTACCTGCTTTGCTCTTGCTGCTTTTAATATTCTCTCTTTGTCTTTTGCTCTTGGAATTTTAATTATGATGTGTCTTAGTGTGGTCTTCTTTGGATTCCTTTTGTTTGGGGTTCTCTGCACTTCCTGGACTTGTAAGTCTATTTCTTTCCCCAGGTAGGGGAAGTTTTCTGTCACTATTTCTTCCAATATGTTTTCGGTATCTTGCTCTCTCTCTTCTTCTGGGACCCCCATAATTCTGATGTTGGTTCACTTGAAGTTGTCCCAGAGGTTTCTTACACTATCTTCAACTTTCTGGATTCTCTTGTCTTCTTGCTTCTGTGGAGGAGTGTCCTCTGGCTATTTGTGTTCCAAATCTTTGACTTGATTTTTGTGATCTTCCGTTCTGTTTTTAGGACTCTGTATAATATTTTTTATTTCAGACAATGTATTCTTTATTTCTAGTTGATCCCTTTTTATATCCTCATAGGTCTCATTTATTTTATCAGCCTTTTTTTTTTTTTTTTTTTTTTTTTTTTTTTTTTTTTTTTTTTTTTTTTTTTTTTTTTTTTTTCTTTTTTTTTTTTTTTTTTTTTTTTTTTAGGAAATTCTTGAAAAACCTTATAACTGTGGTTTTGAACTCTATATCCAGTTGCTTGTGGTCCTCCATTTCTTTCATTTGTGATCTGTTTCCTTGTCTCGGCATTTTTGCTGCTTCCCTGAGTTGGTAGGGTGGCTTTGTGTGCTAGGTGTTCAATATGGTTCAGTGGCTCAGCCTCCCAGTTACCTGAGGTGGACACTCCTGGTGCACCCCTTTGTGGACTGTGTGTACAGCCTTGTTGTAGTTACATCTTGATCGTTGTTGGTATCACTGGGAGGAACTGACCTCCAGGCCAATTGGCTGTTAGGATCAGCTGAGTCTATGCCAGGAGATAGCCTTATTCAACTAGATTTGCAAAATTGCAAATGCCTCTTTGCTCAGCTTGGATGGGGTGGAGTTTCAGGGTGGAGCCTAACAGCCTTGGCTTCCCGTCAGCCCTGCCCTATGAGGTTCCTGAGTCTCATTGTTCCTCAGTGTCCTTTGGTACTCACTGCAAGCACCTCTGAGAGAAAGGTGCCTTCAAGTTTTGCCCGCTACCAGTCTAGTCTCTCCCTCAATGAGCCTGGAACTGGGGTTCAGTGCAGTTGGAAGTAGGATTGGAAGTGGGGTTCAGTGCAGTCTGGAGCTTTTATCTCCTTCCCACTAGTCTGGCATTCCAGCCAGACTCTCAGCCACGCCCTCCTCTCCAGCTCCATCCTCTCCCCACATGTGCACTGTGTCTCCATATCTTAGGCTTTTACAGCTCCTCTGATTTTCCTTCTGGTTTTCTCTTTCCTTCTAGTTAGTTGTAGAATTTCCAGTCACTCAACTTTCCTGTAGTTCTGGATAATGTCCATTTTGTATTTTAGTTGTATTTTTGAAATTGTTGTGCAAGGCTGCAGTTAGGCATTTACCTATGCCACCATCTTGGTTTCTCATCCTATGATTATTATTTTTAACTTTAGCTTTTTACAATAGTTGCCATCAATGGGAGAGTTGGTTTGAATGAGCTAGTTTGCCACAAATGTAACCTGAAATCATGTCTACTTCTCATTGTAACACAAAAGCTTTGCCTTAATTTAAAAAAAAATTTGGAAAAAGAACCAAGATGGCAGTATAGGTAAACACCTGTACCCACTGCCTCCACAACTACATCAAAATTACAACAAAAACACAGAACAACCATCATTCAAAACCACCTGAAAGCTAGCTGAATGGAAGTCCTATAACTAGAGAAGTAAAGAAGAAATTACACTGAGACTGGTAGGAGGGGCAGAGGCATAGAACAGGCTAGATTGTTTTTTAAATCAGGAGGGAGATCATCTCTGCAGAGGCACCCATGAGGAGCAAGTACATTGTTCCTATGCTGGAACTTCCCCAGTCCAAAGCTGACTGGCAGCCATATATGTTTTCTCCACCCAAGTGATTTCCTGAAACCCCACCTTCATCCAATTTGCAGCCCCACCCAACCTATTTGCAGTAACTTTTGCATATGAATGACCTGTCCTTTCTGTGGCATCATACTTTGCTAAAATCTCTCAAACAAGCTGCAGCTGGGTCAGCATGCCCCAAACCTATGAATAAAAAGCCAACGACCCTGAACTTGCACAAGCTGCCTTGCTTCATAGCTGGGCCTTCACTGGGCACCTCCAAGCCCAATACAAATAGTTCCTACAGGGTGGACCCAGGAAGTGGCTGATTTTACACCTCCCTGGAGGACCTAGAGCTAGTGCACCCAGTAAACAGCTTCAAACCATAGCAGTTACAACTCTAGACATCCGTAAGTGACACACTCAAGGGGACAACTCAGTGAGTACCAAAGCCCCACTGACTCAAATCCTATTCCATAAGGATTTGAGTCAGTGGGGCTTTCAATAGGTGTTCAATATGGTTCAGTAGGTGTTCAATATGGTTCAGTGGCTCAGCCTCCCAGTTACCTGAGGTGGACACTCCTGGTGCACCCCTTTGTGGACTGTGTGTACA